TTGTGCATGTTGATCTTCCCTCTGGAATGTTTGTTATCCATTTGAAATTGTCATCAAACTTTGCAAACAGTTAAATGAGTTAAACTTTGCAAACAGTTAAATGAGTTAAACTTTGCTGATTGTGCTTTCAATCTGTATGCGGTGCAACCTTAATTTCTTTCAGAATACTAGTTGAGTTAGACACTAGGCAGGTAGCTGTTCAATGTCGATTTTTAGTTCCACCTGACAGAGAAGGGGAGTTAAAAAATTGACATTGATACAACTTAGTATCTTACTTGGTAATTGGTTATTTGTAATTTTTGACTTAGGTAAGGGGGGAGCAAGTATCCTCAATCCTCATTCAGTGACTCATCATGCGAATAGAGCAATCCATCTTCATCTATTCATTTGAACTCTGTTTTCCTTGTCATGACAAATGTAGGATTTCGTTGCATATTTTATTACTCATCATGTTTATAGAAAGAGTAATGATCAGGGGGACGAAATTGGAAGACGACAAGTGAAAATTACAAGATACAAAATTATCAATTTCACCCTGCTCGCTTGTCGTCCCCCAATTTCGTCCCCATGATCATTACTCTTATAGAAAATATCAATACCAATATTCATATTAAAGAGTTTTGGGTGAGATCTTGGCGGAAATGAAAATGTTGACTTCAGAAATATATTAATTATAACATCTTGTTAAAGAAAAGTGAAAAATTAATTTGTTCCTTGCAATTATGGTGCTGTAGGGTTCTAGTCTTGCAATTAGAATAAGTGATAGGTTTATCAAAACTTCGAGGGAACTAATTGTATTGAATCAAGAAACCAAGAAGTATTCACACGGAAGCTCGACCATTCTTTCCAACTCATGCAATAAGAAGTTGCTCAACTACTACAGTGAAGGTTGCTTGCAATTTTAGTTGTACTATCATTTTTAAATTAAGGTGTTTAAATTTAGTTGATTATTTTTTATTTAAAAAGATTATTTAATTCATTTATTTATATTTTATCTTTAATTTAAGAAGATAATTATAACAAATATTATAATAAACATGCCAATATAAATTATAGTTAATTAAGCATGAATATAAAATTTTATCAATTAATTATTATAATATATCTTTATTTTATTAAAAAAATAAGCCAACTAAAATTGTGCAGAAGTAAACCTCGTACAAGTTTTCAAAGGGAAGCTTCTTAACTTATTATTATTTTTTAATCATGAATTGCACAATTAAAAGTCACCTTTGTTAATCCCTTAACCTACCCTTAACACATGTCATGTGATTTGAATTTAAGATTTTTTATTTCAACTGAAAAGATATTGCTACTAAATTAGTACCTTTATTAGTAAATGATATTGGTTATGAATACTTAAAAATAGGTATTACCGTAAGTAATGCCACATTTACATTCCAATAATATATGTAGATTAAATTTTGTAATTGGTCTCCTCTTTTTTTTTTGGTATAAAATGATACTTAGTTTTTGGTTTCTGCTATGTTAAAATTCACAAATTATAGGGTTTATTATTTTTAAACTCCAAAAAATATCTTTAATTTTAACAAATACTTGATAGCTTGAAGAAGGGTATATAATCAAGAATTTCTCTCTACCTCGGATCAAGTTCAATTGATATTTTATCCACGTATGGTTTGCT